GTGTTAGCCAGGATGGTCTCGATCTCCTGACCTCGTGATCCGCCCGCCTCGGCCTCCCAAAGTGCAGGGATTACAGGCGTGAGCCACCGCGCCCAGCCAGAACACCTTTTAAAGTGAAGTAGAAATAACCAATGGCTATTTATTATGTACTAGCTATTGCATATGCATTATCTCATTTAATTCTCAAAACACTGTGATGTAAGTACTGTTAGTTTTTTGGTGAGAAATTGGGCAACTGGGGCCAGGTGTGATGGCCTGTAATCCCAGCACTTTTGGAGGCTGAGGCAGGCAGATCACCTGAAGTCGGGAGTTGGAGACCAGCTTGACCAACATGGAGAAACCCTGTCTCTACTAAAAATACAAAATTAGCTGGGCCTGATGTGGCACATGGGTGTAATCCCAGCTACTCGGGAGGCTGAGGCAGGAGAATCGCTAGAATCTGGGAGGCGGAGGTTGCAGTGAGCCGAGATCACGCCATTGCACTCCAGCCTGGGCAACAAGAGTGAAACTCCGTTTCAAAAAAAAAAAAATAAAAAAAATAAAAAACCAGAAATTGGGCAACTGGGGCATAGTAAATTAAGCAACTTGCTCCAGGTTATTCAGCCAGTAAGCAAGGTCAAGCCAGGTGGTCTGTGCCTGTAGTCTCAGCTACTTGGGAGGCTGAGGTGGGAGACTGCTTGAGTCCAGGAGTTCAAGGCCAGCCTAGGCAATATAATAAGGCTCCAGATCTCTAATAAATAAAATACAATATTTTTAAAAAGTAAGCAGGGTCAAAGGACACTGGTAAGACCTCAAAACCAATAACTTGAACGGCTGTGCTAGATTTTCCCAATGCCTCAGGCTCACTTTTCTCATCTGTACCTATTTCACAGAGTTACAAGGTTCCAATGAGATAAAATATGCAGGAGGGTTTTATAACCTGTGAAGCACATTGCAAAATGGCATATATGATTTTGTTTTTTTATTCCTGAGATGGAGTTTTGTTCTTCTTGTCCAGGCTGAAGTGCAATGGTGGGATCTCGGCTCACTGCAACCTCCACCTCCTGGGTTCAGGTGATTCTTCTACTTCAGCCTCCCGAATAGCTGGGATTACATGCGTGCGCCACCACACCTGGCTAAGTTTTTATATTTTTAGTAGAGACGGCGTTTCATCATGTTAGCTAGGCTGGTCTGGAACTCCTGACCTCGGGTGATCCACCCACCTCGGCCTCCCAAAGTGCTGGGACTACAGGTATGTGCCACTGCGTCCGGCCATGAGTTTTAAATATACAATTAAAATGGTTTATTTGTAATAACGGATAATAGCATGAATACATAACGTACATATTTCACAACCACAGAATTCTGTGATTTTTTTTTTTTTTTTTTGAGATGGAGTCTCCTTCTGTCGCCCAGGCTGGAGCGCAGTGGCTAGATCTCGGCTCACTGCAACCTCCGTCTCCGGGGTTCAGGCGATTCTTCTGCCTCAGCCTCCGGAGTACCTGGGATTACAGGGGCGCACCACCACGCCCAGCTAATTTTTTGTATTTTTAGTAGAGGCGGGGTTTCGCCATGTTGGTTGGTGAGGCTGGTCTCTAATTCTTGACCTCGTGATCCGCCCTCCTCGGCCTCCCAAAGTGCTGGGGTTACAGGTGGGAGCCACCGCGCCTGTAAAACTTTTTATTGCATTTAAAAACTTTTTATTGCAATGTAATGTGTATGGGCCAGGTGCAGTGGCTCACGCCTGTAATCCCAGCACTCTGGGACGCCGAGGGGCGGATCACCTGAGATCAGGAGTTTGAGACCAGCCTGGCCAACATGACGAAACCCCGTCTCTACTGAAAATACAACAATTAGCCGGGCGTGGTGGCACATGCTTGTAATCCCAGCTACTCGGGAGGCACAGGTAGGAGAATCGCTTGAACCCGGGAGGCGGAGGTTGCAGTGAGCTGAGATCGGGCCACTGTACTCCAGCCTGGGCGACAGAGCGAGACTCCGTCTCAAAAAATAAGTAAGTAAATAAAAAAATAAAATGTAATGTAATGTATATGGTTAAAAGTTCATAAAGCATGCACCTTGATTAACTTTTACAAAAGTAAAAATTGCAAAAAAAAAAAAAAAAAAAAAAAAGCACTATCCGGGTCAAAACGTAAAACATTACCAGTATCTTGGAAGCCTTCCTCTGGCAAATGGTATATACTTTTGAGTTAAATACGTGGATTCGAATGTTGACATTTGGACTTTCTTCTTGCGTGACTCTGGTAAGTTATTTAACCTTTCTTGGTTTCGGCAGAGCCATCTGTGGGGTGGGGATAATATTACCTCATAAGACTATTTAATTGTAGACGGGCGTGGTGGCGCATGCCTGTAATCCTAGCTACTGGGGAGGCTGAGGCAGGAGAATCGCTTGAACAGCCTGGGCGGCAAGAATGAAATTCCGTCTCAAAAAAAAAGAGAAAAAGATTATTGAATTGAAGATCACATAATGTAAAACGTCTATCATAATGCCTAAATATAGCTGCTCTGCAATAAATGGCAATTATTATCAGAGAAATGTAATAGGTGTTCCCTATGCCCACTTCCTGCCTTTCTTTCGCCCGTTTTTGAAAGTTGCTCTCTTTCCTATTCCGTTTCTCCTTCCTTTTCGCCCCTCCTACTGCCGTAAATGGCCTACTAGAGTTGTCGTGAAATGCTCCTCCCCGCCCTCCATGTGGCGAAAATGCAATCACGCTTGACGGCGCAAGGTGGCTCAGCCGCAAGATGGCGGCGCTGGCGGAGGAGCAGACGGAGGTGGCGGTCAAGCTAGAGCCTGAGGGACCGCCAACGCTGCTACCTCCGCAGGCGGGGGACGGCGCAGGCGAGGGTAGCGGCGGCACTACCAACAACG